CAACCTGCTACCCAGAAAGAGGTTCGAGCACAGGACCGCCCGCAGCACCAGCCTCCTGCCCCTGAACTGGGGGTTTCTCTCCTGTGTGAGTGCGCATGTGTACCTTGAGACTTTTGGAAGTAGTATAAGCATTTGGACAAATATTACACACATAGCGCTTCTCACCGGTGTGAACGCGCTTCTTGTGTTCCTTGAGGCTGTCAGGACGGAAGCTTTTGTAGTCACACGAATCACATGCATACGGCTTCTCTCCTGTGTGCCTGAGGAAGTGCTCTTTGAGACTTTTGGAAGTAGCATAAGCACATGAACAAATGCCGCACACATATGGTTTCTCTCCTGTGTGAGTGAGCTTGTGTGACTTGAGATTACCAAGAGTGGAGCTTTTGTAGTCACATGAATCACATGCATGGGGTTTTTCTCCTGTGTGAATGCGCTTGTGGTTCTGCAAAATACTAGACAAGGGAGTGCTGTATCCACATAAATCACACACATAAGGCTTCTCTCCTGTGTGAATGAGCTTGTGTGACTTGAGCTTATAGGAACTAGTACAAGCATATGAACAATTATCACACACATAGGACTTCTGTCCGCTATGAGTAAGAAAGTGAACCTGGAGACTACCAGATGTAGTGCATGTATATGAGCAAATATCACACGCATATGGCTTCTCTCCTGTATGCCTGCGCATGTGAATCTGAAGATTACCAGGCTGGGAGCATCTGAAGTCACATATATCGCAAGAGTAGGGTTTCTCCCCTATGTGAGTCAGCTTGTGTGACTTGAGAGTATAGGAACTAGTACAAGCATATGAACAAATATCACACACATAGGGCTTTTCTTCCATGTGATTCTTCATATGTGCCTGGAGAGCACCAGCGTCCATGCACTTGTAGCCACACACGTCACACGTATAGGCATCCGCCGTTCCACTATGAGTGAGATAGTGCACCTGAAGACTCTCGGATGTAGTGCATGTATGTTGGCAAATATCACATGTGTATGGCTTCTCTCCCGTGTGAGCACGTTTCTTGTGTTCCTTCAGGCTGTCAAGACGGACGCTTCTGTAGTCACATGCATCACATGCGTAGGGCTTCTCTCCTGTGTGCCTGCGGAAGTGCTCTTTGAGACTTTTGGAAGTAGTATAAGCATTTGAACAAACATTACACACATATGGTTTCTCTCCTGTGTGAGTGAGCTTGTGTGCTTTGAGACCCGCAATCTGGATGGCTCTATAGTCACATAAATCACACGCGTGAGGCTTCTCTCCTGTGTGAGTGCACATGTGTACCCTCAGACTACTAGCAAAGGAGCTTTTATAGTCACATGAATCACACGCGTAAGGCTTCTCTCCTGTGTGAGTGCGCATGTGTCTCTTGAGATACGCAAGCTGGGAGGCTCTATAGTCACATAAATAACACGCGTGAGGCTTCTCTCCTGTGTGAGTGCGCATGTGTACCTTCAGACTACTAGCAGAGGAGCTTTTATAGTCACATGAATCACAGGCAAAAGGTTTCTCTCCTGTGTGAGTGAGCTTGTGTGTCTTGAGATGCGCAATCTTGGAGGTTCTATAGTCACATGAATCACACGCAAAACGCTTCTCTTCTAAGTGAGTGCAAACGTGTTGCTTGAGATTTTTGGAACTAGTACAAGCAAATGGACAAATGTCACACACATAAGTAAGCTTTTCTTCTGTGTGAG